GCTTGCACAGCTGCAACACTTCGAATAAAGCTGTCAAATACATAAAGTACCCAGTGGCAGATTGAATACTTGTCTTCAGGCATCCAACAATATCCACAAGATAATTGCTGCAAAATATTTAACACATCTATTAATTATTGTGGAATCCTGTTCCACTCAGCTAACCCCCTCTTTAATTAGTTTCCTACATATATTTCATAATTCTATTTAATACTATCCACGCAGACTCATAGGCTTCCACAAATACCATTCCTCTGCTTTAATGAAGCTCTTGCCCATCTTTTCTTATTTTTCATGCTAAGGAGTTACTTAGGAGATCCTAAGTCACATATTGGTGGCAAAGGCCAAGGATGCCAGCCTTTGGAAGCCAGCTGTGAAGAAGGCAGTATCATTCATACGCACGGCAAGCTGAACGGGATAAATCCTGAACTATTTTAAACGTCCCTTTGTTAAAGGGAACAAAACCATGGTAAAGACACATCACTGATGCAGAACCAAGGTTTGCTGACCTCACGATAACATCCCTGCTCTCCCCAACTCTCGATTATGGTAAAAAAAAGCTCTGAATAAGTGAAAAGACAAACGGTAGAAAATACCCTTACTACAACACCACAAAAAGCAACAGCCAGAGAGAGATCACCCTGCAGAGCAGTAGATTACATCGAAGGGTAGATGTCCCTGGGGTCAACAGGAGCAGACAGTCCACACAATGTCCCCGAGCGACCCAGGTGTTGGTAGGGGGGTGTGTGTGAGCCCTCAGTACAGATGCCCAAACTGCTCCAAATATTACTCTTCTTGTGGGGGCAGCTTATTCACCAGCAATTCCCAACAGCTTATGGGGTCTTGAAATATCGACCACCGCACCTCTCCAAGACATTTACAACCCCAAAACTTGCCTTTTGACATAGGATTCGTCTCCTTGTTCTATCCAAATGTAAAAGGCTACTGATGAGTTACATCCCCTCAATTTAAACCTATCTCAGAAAGCAGCAAACTGCAACAGCACCAGATGGGGAAGCACACTACACCTTTTTTCTTTTTTCCTCTTTCTTCTTCAGTGTTACAAAATTGAAATGGTTCACTCCTGGTTCTGGTACCCACTGCCAGAAACACCTGGCTCTGCTAATAGTGCCTGCAAGATCCTACTGAAAGCTGACTGGCCTGTTTCTCACGAGTTCTAGAGAGCTTATCAAAACCACAGAAGGCAGCACTGCCCGAAATTTGAAAACCTCAGCCCTGATATTTGCAAGTGAAACCAATCACGAATGTTTCACTGCTAAGTGATTTTACTTTGGGAAATGAAACAAGACCCTGGTGACTATTTGAATGCTTGGCTTGTACATGAAATGTAGGGACACCAGTAATATTAAATATTCACCAATTAATTTTAATAGCACATTGGATACCTCTTGAAACAAAATGTTTTTCAAGTTAACTATTATTAAAACTGTAAAGTATTTCTCTTTAGACTGGTCTAATCATGCTTGGTTTCTTGATTCAGCATGCAGGGCTGAGATACCCCTCTCGCCTCCTCAAATAGAAGAGAAGAAATGCAGAAGCATTTTCAGAAACTATCCCTGACTTTATCAAATCAAAGTCTCCACTAGACTATGGGCTTTGATGGGCCTCAAAAGCAGGTATTATTTAAAATGCTGTTTGTATCTAAACGAACATTTAATACAAAGAATTGATTTCAACCTCTTTACAGACAACAGGATATCTTGCAAGTCAGATAAAAGCATTGCAATGATGAACAAAAAAAAAAAGAAAGAAAAACAACGTTGGGGGAAAAGAGCGTTTGGTTGTGCACATGAATACACTGCACTCTGAGAAACGTAAAAATATCTTCTGAGTTTCCACTATTATAGATCCTAAACATACAGATGATCATACATTGCAAAAGCCAACACAAACCTCCCAAATTTTGTTTCTTCCCCCCATCCCCAAATCATGTCCATAAACTAAGTTTCCTGAGTTTTATTAGAATTAACAGAGATTTACAGTGATGAAAATTATTTCAATTACATAAGCATTTTTCCTTAAAGATTTTCTTTCTTGGAAAGACACAATTATTAGGGTCAGCAACAAAAGCTTAAGTACCACCTTGTGCTATCAAGACTACACAAACCAATTCCTAGAAGGGTCAATCTGGCTCATTTAAAGCACTTACAAACAGGAGGATATAATTTATATGTGAAAAAGGCAACAAGCACTGGTCAAAACTTTATGATTACCCTCACACTTCAGAGTCTTCTCACCTCTATTCAAAGAAAAGTTTGCATGTTCTTGGGTAAAGAATCCATACGACTAACATAAGATACTTTATTATTAAAAAACATTCTATAAGCAAGAAGATAGAAGCAATAAGGATGTGCTTGTATTTAATGTGACTAAAACAGGAAAGGGAGAAACAGATTTTGAGTTTAATTTAAACCAGCTATTAAAATTAAGCTTATAAAAACAGATGAGTCAGCATCATTTTAAATAGTTCGGTGTTTTTTTTTTTTAAAGAAAAACAATTACAGGTACTTGTCTGTATTTTAATGAAGCTAGAAAACTTCAGTGTTTCAGAGCCAGGCTCTAAGGCACCAGCAGACTACCTGGCGTAGAAGTATGAGCAATAATCCTGCCACACCCTGAGAACCTCCGTTGTGAAACGACCGATAGCCAGGGCTTCCACCGGGCTTCAGCTGCATTTAGTCAAAGGTCATTACGAACCTCCCAACCCACATACATGACTGTAAACAGTTCTCCAGATTTAATTCTGATTTTTCTCTTGAAGCTGAAAGCTGCCCAAGATGTTTATCCTACTCGGTACAACGCAGATTACTTGGAATTCCACTTGGGATTTGGAGCCTGTGGGCCCAACACAGGCAAAAAGGGAATGCCAATAATCACTCTGACGATATAAAAAAAAACCACAACAACCCTCCATGAATTTATATGAAATGAGACTGAAAGAGCACAAGTTAGGTTTGGAAATCACGCTCTCTTCTATTGCAAAACAAATGCCCCATTAAAAATCTACTACTTAGCCATTACTAGCTGACATGCTTGACCCGTTTTATATGTATGTAGGTCCCCAAAGAAAATAAACATTATATTAAGCAAGTTATTGGCGTGGAGGCCATGAAAGTATAAACTCAGATAACACGACAGTTTATACTTTTAGTATAAACAAGTTTTCAGATCGAGTTTTCACTAAAAGCAGAGAAGTTTCTGGGGGGAAAAAAATACAGAACTCAATTAGAAATGCAGTGAAGTTATATTTGCATTTTTAGCGCATGGAAGAGCTAAAGGCAGACACACCTGTGTCTCTGCACAGATTTGTTTCCACAGGATCAGGCTAAAGACCTTCCAAGACTCCGACATGTGGAAATCTGTGTCAATCATATCTACAAGACTCCTGCGACTTAATTTTAACGAAATTAACAGGGGATGCATTCTCTAGAGTCTTCTTAAACGTGAAAGAGAGCGAGAAATAGATCAAATAACTCAATATTAACACAGTAACAAAGGAAACGAAAGTCACAAGAGCCCAGACAGGAAACGCACAATGCAAATAGCTCAGGGGGGGCCAGGGCCACCCCCTGAGGACCCCCCGGCTCCTTCGCCTCCCCTGACCCCGGCGCTGTCACTCCCCCAGCCCCGAAGGGACCTTCGCTTTCCGTCCCCGCAACCCAAAACCCGACCCTGACCCTCTCCCGCACAGCCGAGGGTCCCTAGCCCCCGCAGGACGCCGCGCCTCAGGGTGCCCTCCCACCCGAGCGCACCTCGGGGCTGACAGCAGGCACGGAGCGGCAAGAGGGAGGGCCCCGGTGCCAGCGGGCACCGACGGACCCGCACCGTGTCCCGGGGCTGACACCCGCCCAGCCGCCCCAGGCCGTCACCCCGCTCCCAGGGCGAAAACCGAGGACCAAACCCTCCTCCTCGCCTTTTTTTTTTTATAAATTTCCGAGCACTAAAGGCCTCTGTCCCCCCCTCTCCTCCCCTCAGTTTCTTTCTGCGCTGACACAAGTTTTTCTTCCCCCACAAAAAGCCCCGCTGAGGCGAGGCGCGGGAAGCCCCGCCGTGCCCGCTGCCTCCCCGCCCCGCCGAGATTTGCCGATGGCCTCCGCTCCGCTCCCCTTTTCCCCCCCGCTGCCGGGGAGCGGAGCCACCGCCCGAGCCCACGGGGCCCAGCCAAGGCCCCACGGCCACCCACCGGACCCCGGCCCCACCGCCCACCTGCCGACAGTCTGGTTGGCCAGCTGCTTCATCCGGTTGAACTGTTTCTTCATGGCGGCGGCCGTTCACCCCGGCCTCCCGCCGGGCACCCACTGCTCTGCCGCCGCCCCGGCCCCGGCCCGGCCTCCCGCCTCCTCCCTGCTCACGGCGCCGCTCACCGGCCCCGCCCACACCGGAACCCGCCGCCGCTTCCGGCCCTGCCCACACCATCACGTGCCCTCAAGGGACACCCGCCGGGGCGGCCAGAAACCCGGATGTCCCGCCCCCCCCCCCCCCCGGGGCCCGGGTCACCGGCCCCGCCCACACCGGAACCCGCCGCCGCTTCCGGCCCTGCCCACACCATCACGTGCCCTCAAGGGACACCCGCCGGGGCGGCCAGAAACCCGGATGTCCCGCCCCCCCCCCCTCCCGGGGCCCGGATGCTGGGGGTCCGTAGCGAGGGGAGAGCGAGGTGGTGCTGCCTCAGAAGCGGTAGCTGGGCCGGGCTCGGCGTGTGCGTCTCTCCCCTCTCCGAGAGCGGGCTGCCGCGGGACTCCCCCTTCCGTCCCACACCGTTATCACCGGGCGTTCACCCAAAACTACCGCTCCCGGCTTCCCTTGCGGCACCGCTACCGTTTCCTGGGCGGAGTGGTGCAGCCTGCCCTCTCTCATTGGGTGTAGTGGGAATGGACGAGGCCTCAGACCAATCGACGCCGAGGTCCGGCGGGCGGTCCTGCGGAGGCCGGCCAATGAGGAGCGGTGGGAGGCGGGGCTAGAGGGGCGGTGGCGGCAGCGGCGGGCGGCCGAGCCTGGCGCGCTCCATGGCGGCTGCCGCCCGCGAACCCCTCTCCGCCTCCGGCCTGGATGAGGCGGACGAAGCGGTGCGGGGGACGTGTGAGGACGCGTCCGTCTGCAAACGGTAGCGGCACCCTGCGTGGGGGGAGCGGCGGGCGTGCCGGGCTCCTCCGGTGTCTCCCCGCAGCGGGCCGCGGTGCTGGTGGCGGTGAGGGAGGGCGGGGAGGCGTCGAAGCAAGGGCCGGCCCTCGGGAAGCCGGGCTGGAGGAGAGAGAGGGAGCCGGGTGCCGCCGTGCCCCGTGGGGCCGGTGTCCTTTTGTCTGTACCGGGGCCCGAGCGGCTGCAGGGCCGGCTGGCCTGGGGAAGGCACCCGGGGAGGGCACCCGGCGCTGTGGGGTGTGGGCTGGGCCCTATGGGGGAGAATAAACTTCAAAACAGGGTTACAGCTCCCCTTGGGACAGGGCCCGTGTTGGCTCTGAAGGTGCTTTTCCCTTAGACCCGGCAGCTTTGCTCCTTGGTTTTGCCACAAACTTTCCCCATCCTGTTGTTTTCCAGCTTCAGAGTTTGTTTGTAAAACAAGGACAATTAGAATTGTACTTACGGTGGGGATTTGAAATTTCAGTGATGTTTGTTGTCTCAGGAAAAAAAAAAATCACAAACATGATATTTCTCAGAATTCTTTACTTCCCCTCTTCTGGAGGACGGGTGCTGGGAGGGTGAGGAGTGGTTTTGCCTTGGCATGAATTTAACTTCTGTTATTGTTGGCTGTTTGTTTTAGCCTTTGTTATTGCTGTAGCAGCCTGTTATTGGGTGGTTGGGTTTGTTTTTGAGAGTTTTATCTTTTCAAATTGGTTGTAAGATTAGGAAGTTCTATTAGAGCAGAATAGTGTTGTTGTCTGTGTTAAAATGATCTGTAGAAGCTCTGAAATGTGTGCAAACAGCTCCAAGTGTGATGGTGTATAGAAGTAAGGCGTGCTTTGTCCGAGGAACTTCAGACAAGGAGTTTCTCTGTTTGCTGAGTCCTGAAGGAGGAAATATTTGAGGTCAGGGGCTTCACTTCCAGAAGTTCATCAAATAATGCAGAAGCCATTAAAAAAGATTCTTGTTTAATATGGCAGGAGCCAAGGTTTTTTACTAGACTTTCTATAACTTCTTAATTGAAATAGTTTTGCATGTTCAACAGGGTTGTTAAACCTTGTCTGCACATATACACCTGGGTTGGAGAGTCACCTTTTCAGCCTGTGTGTTTTTTAGAGTAAATCTTGATTTTGTAATTCTCTTATTTTTTTTTCCTCTCCGCTGGACAGGTTTGCTGTAAGTGTTGGCTACTGGAAGGACCCTTACATCCAGTATTTTGTGAGACAAGCCAAAGAGAGAAAAGCACCTGAAATCAATAGAGGCAAGTTGGCACGTTAACTGGAACGGTGTCAGTGCAAATGTGTTCTTAACTGGTCTTGAAGAGCACCTGGCAAAACCTCTCTCTATAAAACCTCTGGGTATTACAGAGTGTAGGAAATATGTAAAAGAATAAGACAAATTTTCTTCACAGTAATAATTCCATACTGTAGCCAACCTTTTAAATATTAGTCTTTAAATCAAAACTCTTGTCCTTTGCTTTCTGTGCTCTGAATGGAACGTCTCTGTGTGTCTCAGCGTGCAGTAATCTCTACAAAACAATCAGAAGTGTTGATTTGACTCAGGACACTAGGGTATGTCTGCTCTGGTCTCTGAAAAATGTGTGTACCAGCTAGAATTATTCTGCTCAGTTTCAGGTGAAACTTGACAAAATTTTTTATTTACCCAATGAATCCTATTTTATGAATGAGTCAAATTTCGTTAGTAATAAGAACAACCCCAAAACCCCTTAGGTATCTTAAAAAGAATGCATTATTCTTCCTGAGAAACTACCTAAAGATTTTACTGAGTGTTAAACAACAAGTATTATATGAAAATAAGATTTAAAAATAAACTGTTGTTGTTAACAGGCTATTATGCTCGTGTTCATGGAGTCAGTTATCTGATTCAAGCTTTTCTAAAGAAGACAGACTGCAACTGTCAAATTGTTAATCTTGGTGCTGGGATGGATACCCTGTTCTGGAGATTAAAGGTAACGAGAGCAGAGAGTAATGAACTTGGCTGAAGACAAAGACTTGCGTGGACATTTGAAGCGCTTTTCTGTGAGGGCTTATGGATGCTGCGTTCTGCAGCAGAAGGTGGAGGGATGCAGCAGGAATGGCAGCCCTTGCTGCTCCGCCTCAGTGCTCAGCTGGTTTGCAATTAGTTTAGGTACCTTTAAACCTCAGTGCCCAGGAGGGGCTGCTCTTTTCACCGGCTTTTACCAAAAAAGCGTGTGACACGAAGCTGACCCCTAGTGGGCTTTGGGGAACAGAGCTTGAACACCACACTTTGCTGTCTGCTTTAAGCCTTAAGATTTCACTTTCTTACCTTCTATTAAAATAGGAATAAGGTACCAAAGTACAGGATTGTACAGGCTCTATTTACATGTTGCTGAATTATTTATATAAATGTGAGTTTATATATGTAAATATATTTGTTTGTGTGCATGTGTGTCATGCACAAAAGTTCAGATTATTCAGCTATTAAATGATAGTACCGTTTTGAGTGAACACACCTCTGAGTCATCCTGTCTTCTCATTAGCATTTACGTTTGTAAATTTGGTTTCTGGGAGAAAGCCCAAGGAGGCTGGTCACATTTTGCTTGGTCACAATTCATAGAATCATAGAATTGTTGAGGTTGGAGAAGACCTTTAAGATCATTGCATCCAGTTGTTAATCTGCCGCTGCCAAGTCCACTGCTAAAATAATGAGTTGTTTTCTGAGATGTGAAGCTTTTTCTTACCTGCATTCCTGTGGAAACGGTGTCAATACACAGTTTTACTGATACTCCTGTAACTGTGGTTTTAAAGCTAAAGCGGTGCCTGTAATTCCAATTCTTTCTCATTAATGGTACCACACCTGCTCTTTTTTGTTTTGGTTTATTTTTTAAGCTGTGGGGCATTAAGTTAGAATACTGTTACAAATGCCAGTGTAAACTAAACCAAAACTGTTTAGGAGTTAAGATTATATCTTTTTGTCTTGTGCATGTGAAACTTGAATGTCCCTAATCCTAGAGTCTTACTCCAATTCTCAGGATGAAAATCTTCTCCCTAGAAAATATTTTGAAGTGGATTTTCCAATGATAGTTGCAAGAAAAATACATAATATCAAGTAAGTATAATGCTTATGTTTAGCTATGTGAAACTGAATGTAATTCAGCAAAATGTCATGAATTGCAAGCTGCAACTATTAGATTCATCTCTCTTCTGAGAAACTCTTCATGGGCTAGGATTTAGAATAAAGGTTTCATTGTGCAGGGAAGTCATTCATGTGACTGTGCAGCCGCTATCCCAAATTGGAGAAGTCGGTATGTGGAAGCTTTAGGGAGGCAAGCAGGCTTGATTCTTAATTATGTAAATTATAACGGGTGAGGGAAGCTTCACGATGATTAAGAGGCAACAACATCGTCTTCTCTTACTATTGAAGCTAGTAAAAAATTGTGTGTTCAGTTAGAGAGGTAGAATAGCTGGTACTACATGTGAATATTCTGTTTGAATGAATACATTAAGGTTTATGGAGGGTACTTGAAGAGAGTGTCAGGATTTTTCTTGCAAGATTACTTCAAAACTTAGAGTCACTGGATATAAAACTCAATTTAGTAATAAGTCCAACTTGCAGACGTTTTTATTTCCAGTAGAGGGCAGAGATATTCTCTTGTCTGTTTTTAACACACATACACGTGTAGAGAGAGAGAGATATATATGTTAAAAAAAAAAAAAAGAAAGAAAATTGTAAGCACACTGTTAAACAAGCTTAACTGCTCAGAAATGCTTCTTCCTTCTTCCCACAGATCAAAACCTCCCCTGTCAAAACCAATTATGGAATCCCATTCAGGGGAGTCTCTTCTAATAGGTGAGTCATCTTAAAAATAAGTCAGCAATGTACTGTAGCACTTTTAAAACTTTTCTGATCATTTTGTTCTGCTATGTGGGCAGGCTTTTAATGTTTGAAATGCTGTTTGGACAGAGAATTGGGAGGAAAAAGAGGCTTTTTTCTTCTCTTACAGACTCCTGCCCATTTGTTCTGTGTCATGTTAGAAACGTCTTCTCTTGAAGTGGTTTTATTCTGCCAGAAAGTTGTTGGATTTTTTTTCTTTTTCTCTCACATGTAGCTTAAGTTATGTTTTCTTTTCTTTCACAGAGAAGGAAAAATGCTGCTGATAGTCATGTACACTGGATTAAAATAGCTATCGAGTGCTTTTCTCTCTCTTCTTTCTGTCTCACTAAAAGCACAAGTCTTTACATTTAGCCGAGTCTTCATGGAAGAAATGCAGCCGGCACGGTCCCTTCTCGGGATCCAGTGCCATTTGTTACATTTTGGTATTAAGAGGACGTTAGATTCAGGTGGTATCGTGTGGTTGTACTGTCTTGGCTCATACCCCCCTTATGTTTGTGTAATTTGAAAATACGCCTGGAATTTGAAAACCTCTTTACTTGTGAAAAAAAACTGAGTTCTGTTGAGTAACGTTTTCCGTGCCTGAATAGTGGATACTGCGCTATCGGGGCTGCTTTGGACCCTTTTGGAGGAACAGTAATTATCTGCATCTACGATACCAACTAATTTGTGTTACTTACAACAGAGCTAGCAGTGCTTTGTGTTCCCTGGTGTGATTACATGTATAGCTAATTTTAATAAGCATAATTCTAGCTGAGGGTCTGGAGGGCTTGAAAGGGGCTTCCAAAGAGTGAGGAAGAGTACCAAGAGCGAAGGGATGTGCTCGTGCTGCCAATGGCAGGTGTAGGTGCTTCACCCCAAGGCTCTTCTAGTGCTTTAGCTTGGATCAGAGCACTGCCACACACTGATTTGGTTGTGCATATTTCTACATATTATGCACATTTTGTTGCTCCATATTAGAGGCTCTTAACTCACCAACCTTTTAGCTGTCATCTGAATGGCAGAAGTCTCTGTTGTACATTCAGGTCCCAAAGGGTTAAAGCCCAGTGCTTCATCTCAGAAAAAGGGCTCCTAAGGACCACTGTGTTCCAGGTGGGAGACCTTCTTCTAACGTGTCTCCTATGTACAGCGAGATGTGCTGCGTAAGCACTGGTAAAAAAGCATTAATACAAGGTCAGTCGGGAGGGTTTCATAGTACTTGTGTTACTGAACAGCTGTAGATACATCTAGTACAGCAAAATAAATGGTGTATTGTAATCAAAAGCTACTAATTAGCAAGTCACAGCAGTCAACAGCAATTAACATATCACTGTTTGAATGTGTTGGAGTGGCTTGTTTCTCTAAAGCCGTTTCTCTTGTTCTAAGCGCTGTGTTTTAAATACTTTAGGCATTTTAGTGTAACCTGGCTGATGTAGGCTCTACTGTACTGAGCTCTTTTGGTTGTGGCTTAATGTCCAGATATTTGGAGTTGGTGGAAGTCTGTTGTGGAATCCCAGTTTGAACTGGCACTTGATAACCATAGGTCAGTTTGAGTGAAATCCATGTGGGAACTCTTAACTAAGGACATGGTAATGGCACCAGTTCATGTGGAAATGCCACCAGAAGAGGCTGTGGACTAAGTAGACAAACAGTCAGGTGAATAGAGATTTCTTACAGATCTAGAGGAACTTGACCATGAATTTGCTCAGGTACTAGCTGGTGTATATGCTCTCATTTTAAAACGGTCTTAGTACCTGAGAACTGAAAGGTGACATCTATGACTCAAATGGGCTCCAGAAGAAACCCTGGCAACTACAAGTCAGTAGGACTGATGTTTCCACTGGACAAATTAGAGTAGAAAGTCTAACAGATAGACTTAGCGGAACAGAGGAATAATATAATGTGTTGAGAAAGAATCAGGACAGCTTTTGTAAAAGTGAGATGCCTCACAAACCAATTGGAGTTCTCTATAAGAGTCAACAGGTATATTGGAAAAGGACATCCAATTAATACAGTGCTTGAATTCAAAAAATGTGTTTTGACAGTGTCCCTTACCAGAGTTTGCCAAAGAAATTGCATATTTGTTGTGGGGAAAAGGAATGGTTCTCATATGGATAAACAGCTGGGGATGGAGGGCAGGCGTATGTTGTTAATTTTCATTATGGAGGGAGATGGAGATCTGTGCTTAAGTATATATTGTTGTTCAACACTAAGAAATGGTTGGGAAAATAGAGTGACTAGTAAGTGGCAGCTTGTTGGCAAGTCCAGGCTATTCAGAGTGGTAAAGCGATGCACATGGGTAGAAAAAGTAGTTTGTGCCTCACATGTAAATCATTGGCTTCTGGCTGATTATTGCTGCCTGCATACAAGAGCTGGGTATTATAATGTAGAGATATATTAAAAAATTGGCTCAGTAATTGTCCAGAAATTCAAGTAAAATAAAGCCTTCTTAGAAAAACGATAGAAAACAACATAGATGCCAGTATTAGTGGTACGTATTTGCCCTCTCTTTGCCTTTTCCCTGTGTAGCTGTTGGCCCCTGTGAGAGGCAGGACACCACACCTGGGCTCATTTGGGCTGAGCCCATACAGGTGTTAGATTAATGTGTGTTCTGGGAACACCACCTGGCACAGGGGTTGTAGTGGGGCATAATGAAGCAGCATTTCCAGGTAAGGAAATGTTACTCATTTTTGTGGTTTTCAGGGTGGAGATATAGATGAGGATTTTAAAATCTTGGGGTGGGAGGTTGTCTCGTCCTGTCTCTCCCAAATCAATTCCCTGCTGCTGTCTCATGTATACCAGGAATAATTTGTTTACATCCTTTGGAATTTGATTTTGGAGTTGTAATATCGATTGGCATGGCGTGACTCTTATTCTCTTAGTACTTTTTGTCTCACGCTGAATGTTTTCATTTCATGAAGCTGGTGGTAACAGACAACTTTATCAGCTTCAGGGTGACATCTGCTTTCTCCTTGCCCTTTAGACAAAGCAATGACAGCATGGCTGGTGATTCAAGAATAGATATTTGTGGCCTCTGCCCTTGAATGCAGCAAGATGACACTTGTCATTGAACAGCTTTGTCGTTTCCTAGGGAATGTTAGGTCTCCAGGGAAAATGGTGAATTTGTGCAGTAATTTGACATTGCTGTGGCAGTATCAGGCTAAATTGTTTTCAAAGTTCAGTGGCACTATCTGGTTTATGATGCAGTTGCTGGTGTTGGGGAGTTAGTACTCCACCTTTGCTACCTCATGCGTGCAAATTACAGTTCAGTGAACTATTACCTTTCAGCGCTACTCGTACACTTTCTGGCTTTGCCTAGTCCAGCTTTGAGACTTTTTGGTTGTTTTCACTTATTTTTCCCTACGTTTCCAAACTTGTGACCCAGCGCAGTCCCGAGGAGCGTTGCTGTCTTGGTGACTTGCGTTCCCTGTGTTGGGGATGATCCCGCACTTGCAAGACAAGTTAAATGTCTTTGTGTTGTGATAACGTGCCCTGTTCTGATGTTGTAGTTGACAAACAACCTGAGCGAGACCAATACTGTATCACGCCGTTGAGCTGGCAGAATAGGCTGTATGGGCTGGTTGGTTGTAAAGCTGCCAAAGACATCTTCGGATGAAAATCCTAATAAAATCCATTTGTCTATAGCATCCTGCCTGCTATCTCTTGGAAAGCCTCCAGGGAGTTGTTGCATTAATCGGAGAAGAGGGTAAGAAGAGAAAATTCTGAATTCTTGTAGCAGAGGAGATGCTGGGCTGTGTGCCCCCATCATTCTGGAAGGCTGCTTCAGCAGAGGGATGAGGGTAGTGGGCAAGTGCCTGAGGGCCACCATAAACCTGAGCATTTTATGTGCTGGTATGATGTTTGTGTGAAGAAAAAAATTTACTGCAGTGAGGTCAAAAGGCAGATATAAGCAATTCCTGCTACCATTCAGTTACTGTAATGATACCTAAATTAAAACCATTTGTATTGTTACTTCTGGGCCAAAAGTGGTATGGCTGGAACAAAACATTCTCTGTTGTGTTATGAACGGGTAACAGGAGTGTGAGCCTGGGCTGAGGGAGTCTGTGTTGGGTAGATGGCGTGGGCTGGAGTGGTGGGGGTCATTTGCTTTCTCTCCTTCCCTCTCCACTCCCTTCTGTTTCTCAAATGAAATCTGTGTCTGGTATTTCTCAAACCTCCATTTTGGATGAGTACGAGCGAGAACTTTGTAGGTAACTGAATGTTCTGAATGTGAGCATCACAAAATAAAACATAAGGTAGCTCCGAGCTGTAGAAAAGAACATGGTGGCCAAACAACTTTGCTAAAAAATCCAGCATGAAATCCTGGCCTCTAGATGGGAACCAGTGCTTGGAATATGGGATTTGCAATGGATTAAGCCACCGGCCATTGCTGGCTAGGACAGCTGGCCCCAGTCACAGCAAGGTGGCCCTATTTATTTTAAAAACTGCCAGGGGAGTGGAGCTTATAAGTAAGCCACCAAAAAGTTACTCCTAGAAAGTAAACCCTGTTGAGATTAAGTCTATTTTGCCTTCTGGGGGCGGTTTCTTCTCCAGCAGACAGTGCACGTGCCCAGTGTGATCATGTAACTGGGAAGCCTTTCCCACGCTCAGACTGTGTTGCTCTGTGCCTGGTTCCCGTAGCAGTGATTTGGGCGTTCGTGCAGTGGGGGAGGTGGGCTCCCACCCCTCCAGGAGGGAAGGGAAAGGGAGGCAGCAGCAGGGATCTGCTGGAGCTCTTGGCTGCAGGGAGGTCACTGTGGGAGACACTTTTGGAAGAGTGAGGTTGCAGCAAGGAAAAAAAAAAAAAAACCTGCTTTTTTTTTAACACCATAAAAATTGAATCAGTTAAAAGAAACTTCGTGTTCTTAAGAAGAAATCAATGGAGATTATGTGACTCTGCTACCAAGAACAAACTTGCTTTTCTTTTTCAGCTACAGATATTCTAAAATACCTTTGCACCAACAACGCTGTTCAGTCAGGCTGGCAGCATATTTGCAGATTTTCATACTTGGAGCATCAAATCCTGCAATAAAGTAAAATTGGTGGCAGACCATGAACTAGCAGCACATTATTTTTGGGGTGTTTATGGCCATACTTCGACTTTTACCTCCGGGCTGGGCAGAATGGCAATTCCAGCTGTCATCAGCTGCGATTGCTTTGCAATAAGTGAGTGTCTCTTATCTCAGTGTTGAGGTGATGGTGCAGTTGTCAGTCTGATTTTAAAATCCAGACCTTGTTTGCCTAGTTAAGTATGATCTCTTCATCCCTTTGAATTTACTATAAAATGATTTTTTAATGCCATGCATAGGCCAAAGGCGGAAGCTAGCAGAAAATATTAGAAGAAAGTTTGGGAGAGGATTTGCTTGAACTCTTTCCTCCGGCTTTTTTTTTTTTTTTTCTTTTGCCTCTCTTTCTGCGTTTTAAAATTGACTAGTGTATATTCCATATTTTTCCCTAATATTTCCTTGAAAAGAAAAGTATTGGTCGTAACGTTGAAATATATATGAGTGATGGAGATATTTACCGAGGTGCTTTCAGATTTGTTTGAAACGTACAATTTTTAGCAATTGTATCAGCTTGTGTATGATGTGTGTGCGGCTCTGCCGCGGTACTATCTCTGGTTGTGTTTGCCAACAACCATCAATGGAGAGTCGAGGGAAGTTGGCAGGAAAATGTGTGGAGGAGCAAGTACATTCTGTTTGAATGGACCAAAGAAGGAGAACCAGACAGCCCAGATACTGGAAATGGAAGTAAAGTGGTTGCATTTGGAGTAAAAAGCTTTTGAACAGAGGAGGACGATCCATTCCTCATCAGCTTTCTTGGCCTTTTAAAAGTTTCTGCAGCAAGAAGTCCTGTATTAAGGCATTGCATTATAATACTTGCATGAAGGCAAGTATTCTTGGCTTTAAGAATATTTCCTCTAAGCCAAATCACCGTTTTTCCAGCAGATAACTTGGAATGACCAGGCTATGGCTTTATGGCTGTTTATTTTCACTTCTCCCCAACCCACATCTCCAAACCCAACCGTGCCGGGCTGTACCGAGGGTCACTTCCTTTGGCCATCCCCTCTCCCACTATGTCAAGGCGTAACAGAAATTCTCTGGGGTTTGTTCATGTGCATACAGGCTCATTAAAAACCATGTGACTCATTTTGATTGCTGAAGTTAGAACCATTTTGAAGGACCGTTTTCGAACCTGAAGTTTGAGAGGTTTTGTCCTTTCCTGCTCTTCAGTGGTAAAAATGCTTGAATCAACCATGATGTGAGCAGGAGACATTTACTTCCACCTTTGAATTTTTTTTTACTTCTTCCATTATTAGATCACTTAAAAAAACTTTTGTAGTTTATTTCTGGTTATAATTAACATAGCAGTATGTCCAAGTCAATGAAGCTGGACAAGAAGATTGCATTAATTTCATACTAATTGTGGTGAGTGACGCTTACGGTGCTGTATCTCCGGACAGCAAACCAATTGCTATATAAATACTTTCCTGTGTGTGGTGGGGTTTTTTGTGTGGCTTTTCTTGATGCCATTATCATGGCCTTGATATAATAACTTAAATAGAAGGGTGTGGGAAGTAGTAAAGCTATTACAGAACATGCACATGGAAAAGCCTTGACTCAAAATGTTGAATCATTTGCGCACAACTTTTTTTTTCTTTTTTTTTTTTCCTTCTTTCTTTTTTCCCCTGTAACTCTCTGCATAAACCATTCTGGTTTCTGTATCTGTTCGGAGTATTGCTGCTAAGGCAGTTATTGTCACTTGCTAGTGCCATTTTCAAGCAGTTGGTCACTTGAAAACTAAGTGGGGGTACGTATTCCAGGAGGTTTGAAGCACAGCTTAATTTAATGGGTTGCCTTTGGTTTTTTTTTTCCCATCTCCTGAAATGGAAAATCCCTTTGATCCTCCCTCTTCAGCCACTTGGCTTCTCTTCCTCTCTTCCCCTGGCTCTTGACATTTGCTCCTGTTTTGCCATTTGGGAGCTGCATCTGCAGCAGGATCCCGAATGGAGCTGTGCCAGAGCTCGCTACGGCAGACAGATAGCGACTGGCCATTATGTGACCACTTTAAACTCTCACTCTGGATTTTTATCCCCTGTTTTTACTTATGTTACTGCTTGCTCTGTCACACTCATATGGTAAGAGAGGAAAATTATGTGCTGTTCTGTCCTAATGACTTCACTCCAGTAAAGCTGAAGTGCAGGAGAGCAATCTGATGGATTCCCACGGAACTTCACGTCGTTAATTGGGTTTGATACTGCACTTGTGAAATGTTTTCTGTGGGGACTGGGCTCATCGGATGGAATTCATTGAAATTGGTCGTCAGGATTATTGATAGCGAGATTCCCTTGTTGCTGCTGGCTTCCTTACAGCTTTGCTAGAATGGCAGAGGGTCTTTAGACTTTAGTGTCAGTTCCTCCTTCATGTTGTTAAGCATTTACAGGAGCTTGCTGCTTGTATCCCAGGATGAATATTTGTTTCTCATAATGCCTTTTCTAATTTGACTCCACACTTAAATACTATTGCTAGATCATATGAAAAGGCTAAATGATAACTTTTTTTTTGGATCGCAAATCTGTGTCTGATACCCGTATATACTATATAGCTTTATGTATTGTTAATTTATATAGCTATAACTATTGGTAATATTTGGAACATTGTTACTCTTAAATTAGTTTTTCAGAAATTGATGGGTCTTTTTTTCCATTTACTTCCTTATGTACATACACTGGGTCATCTAAAAAGACTCTATAAACAAAATAGAAAAACTCTGCCTTTAATCTTCGCATTTTTTCTCCTCTCTGCATTCCTTGAAACCATGGTAACGGATGGGATAACCTCTCTGCATTAGAGTGGCTGCAGAGTGAAAGATTAGGTTTGTTGCAGAATCTGATGCTGATATATCACCACCTGTAAACCACAACAGTCAGGTATAAGGGAAATTATTGTTTTAAAAAGAAGAGTTTGCTGTTAATTGTTAGGTATAACAGAACAAACTTTGACTTAAAATTCATATGTTCCCGTGTATTTTTTTTTTCAATTTATAATTTCAGCATCCTTCTTGTTTGTAACTGTTAGTCTCAATTTTAAACTTGCAGATTCTCACAGCCTAGACTCCAGTCGATATTCCTTAGTAGGAGCAGATCTCCGTTTCTCATCAGATCTGGAGGAAAAGCTAAAGAAACATAACCTGGATACACAGTAAGATTTTTTTTTATTTTATTTTTAATTTTTAATTATTTTTTTGCTGAGGGCTTGTGGAAAGCGTACTGGTGAGAGTAAGGTCGGGCTCGGGCGTACAATATCTGCACCCAGTGCTCATTATGCTATTTCCATGGTTACCTTTTCCTGAGCCCTTGGAGCAGAAGGAATTGTTTAGACACCTCATGCAGCCTCCCTGAGCCGAGCTGCCTGGCTCTGCCCTGGCTGCTGGCTCCTTCTGAGGCTGTTACAAGGTTGTTCCTCGCATCACCCATTCTGCAAACTGCCTTTTCATCCTTCTTCTGAGGAGAAGATCAAACATTACAGAGCTATTTGCTTTTTGGTCTTAAAACGCCTGGGGGAATGAAGCCTGGCTTTCTGTGAATGTATTTCTTGGGATTGGTTCTCTTTGGGGTATGTGATCCTTTTGCACAAGCTAAATCTCCTGTTGCAGGGCAAGCAGCCCTGAAATTCCTTCTTGCTTCTCCCCCATCCCTTGCCCTGGAGGGGATGCGTTCCCACAGAAGCCATTTTCTGCCTCAGAGCTCACGCAAATTTTCTTTCTCTACTTCATGAACTTAACTCTATTTTAGAGATTTCTGAAAGAGTTACCCCTTGCTTGAATTTGGTTGAAATTTATTTAATAGAATTGCAAGTTATTCAAGGGGAATCTCTAAACTAGCTATGTATCAAAATGTCATAAATGGCTTTTTTTAAGAGTTGGTTCAGTTGCATTTAGTTTTAATGCTGACTGATGGGCAGTACCTAGATCAGTGAACATCTTTCACCCCTACTGTAATGGCTGTATGAGTCAAGGTTTCTGGGAGCTTAGCTGGTAAAGTGAAGGGTAATTCTGTCAATGTTAAATTATTTCAGAGTTTTATCTTTGTAATTATTTTCTATTGCCTCTACTTAAAACCCCTATTGTTCCCTAGGCCTTTTGGTAAAGTCATTACTGTGGAGTCCTTTGAGAACTTAACTCTGGGAACTAATATCTGGGATTTTATTGTTCAAGTGTTAGGCTTCTGGAGGGGGCAGGATTTAAGTTTTTAGAGTGGATGATGGACATACCTTTCAAATATAAGATATATAAATAGCGGCTATCTGGCTGGGTGGGAGAGAGCATATGGGTAAGCAGAATGCATCAAATTGCCATTTAAATCTTTACACTTCCATCTTTTGAAATCTTGCCTCGCTTGCCTACATTGCTGCTCCTTGTGAATTTCTCCTGCTTCTAGTGACTTTTCTTTTTCCTGTTCATTCTAGCAATTAAAACTCCATAATTCTAAGGAAGAATTCTCGTGTTGATGTCTATTTTTGGTTTTTGTGGATGGAGGGGGAAGAGGCAATGTGCAAACTGTAGATTGCATTTTGCTAGATGATAATATGTGAAGCTCATTTTACAGATATTGAACAAATTTGTCTAATTAAAATTCTTAGAACTTTAGAGAAAACAAACTTTAGAGAAACTTCAGAGAACTTAGCGAAAACATTTTTTTTTTTTCAATTTGCATTTTGTTCCCAATTTTGCTGATCTCTAAAAGAGTGTGGATTGTATATATAGGGTACAGTTCTTCTGCAAAATGAATTTTAATCTGTGCTTTAGTTCATGCTACCACAGTTCAGAGAAGACTTGCAGAATACACATTCTTCTGTGTTGGCAGTACGTCTGACTTAGGGGAGATTGTTCCCTCTACCTCTGTTCTGTAACCAGGGGAGTCCCCTGTCGACTGCCAGAAAACCCACTTCTAATCAACTTTGATGAAGTGATTTCATTCAGTCTTAAATGTCTAGTTCATACAAAGGGTAGCTCTTGTAAGAATTTTTGGGGACGTGAAATTACTTGCTTGCTAATAATTCTTTGTAGATTTTTCTTGTTCTTTTTCTACAAATAGTTCTCTTGTTTGGTTTTTTTTTTTGTTTTATAGTTTGCCAACTCTTTTGATAGCGGAGTGCGTGCTGGTTTACATGACACCGCAGCAATCTGCAAATCTTTTAAAGTGGGCAGCAAGCACTTTTCCTGTGGCGATGTTTATAAATTATGAGCAGGTAAAACAAAAATGGCATTTTCAGACCTACGTTATTGTCATAAAAATTGCTCTCAAAAGTGGGAGTTCTGCTTGTAAAATAAGAGGGTGCCATATCCTTTCGTACAGACAGCAGTTTATGCTGGATTTCTTTTGTACTATGTTTTATTTTGTACATCTGTTAGCTCATTGTAAAAAATATATAGCTATTCTGAAAGACAATTGCTGGGCTATATTGAACCGAAAGAATTGAAGCTTAATCCAAATGTGGAGAAAACCATAGAATATTGGTTTAGATAAGACAGAAGAAAAAGAAATGATGCTGAATGTTGGGTATGAGTATATAACATTACATAATTGCCTCTCTGTTTTCTATGACAAAGTGGAGCAAAAATCACATCAGCATGAACTTAGCTTCTCTGTGTGGAAGTAAAACGCTGCCTCGGGGGAACTAGGTGGCTCCAGGAATTATTAACAGGATCTTCCAAGCTGTAAATCACTGCCAGAGACCGGGACTGAGCTGCTGACAACTTAAAGCAGAGTTGGTTTTCAGTGCCCAGTGCAGTCTCTGTGTCTGCAAAAGCATTGTCACTCTTAAACTGGCCACCAGCTTGTGAATGTCAGGTAGCTGAGGAGGTTGTGGCAGTGGGAAATGACATCTGGTGTAAGAATATGTGAAATTTAATGCTATCCTGTACGTTTTATGACATAGACAATTCGAGAGTTTAACCAAGTTACTGCTTTTCACTGCGATTACATTCTTTTCGGAAGGGGGAACACTTTTGTCTCATTCTCTACCTGAGGTGAATATGACGGACAGGTTTGGACAGATCATGATTGAGAACTTGCAGAGACGACAGTGTAACCTGGCCGGAGTGGAAGTCTGCAGATCCTTAGACTCTCAGGTAAAGGGACACAAAGCTCTGGGTGTGTTTCATATCAAACTTAATTAACCTGTCTGCGAGTTCTGCCTCTGTGTGTGCACTGGAAGAGAACCTCAGAGCAGGTTTGGGCTGGGGCAGCTGCTGCCTACTGAAACCCTTTCCAATCCATGTTACGGTGGTTTCCTTTTATCAATGCTGTGGTTGCTCGATATCACTTAGTTTTGTACAAAACCTGCAGCAGATCAGAGCATGGCTCCATCTAGCCCACTGTCCTCTCTGTGCAGAGGTTAGCAGATGCTTAGAAAAGGTTATAAGTACTCTTCAAAGAACAAGTCAAGCAGATGGCCTGCAAAACCCTTAGGGGGAAAAACTGTTCTCTGGTATTTTTCCTCGAGTCCTCTGAAAACTGTGCTGCTTGTTTATTTTACAGAAGGAGCGATTGCTGTTAAATGGCTGGGAAACGGCACATGCCATTGATATGATGAAAGTGTACAGCTTTTTGCCACAGGCTGATGTCAAAAGGTATTACTGATAGCTTGCTTGCGGCCAAAAGTCATCTTCAGATGCCATTTCCAAGGTAGTTCACGTCAATATGTAGTATGGGATCCCCTCGTATAAGAGAGAGGAGGCTGCGTGCAGCTGCTGGCTACACATACAGAATGTACGAGTCTGGAGCTTTCCAGAGCCTTAAGGATAATGCCTGGAGCAACATTAATGATCCAGAGGGTTATTGCTGCCAGAAGTAGACTGGCAGTGGTGAAGATTTGTTTGGGTGTGATATAAAACATTTCACGACAGAAATTTGCAGCCAAAAGATGCTACAGAAACGCTGTGTTGAGTTTTTACCGTACCTGAGATGTTTCTTGTGAACATCCAGCCTCCACAATACTAGATGAGTGGAGGAGAGTCCTAAAATACACTCGGAACAGACAGCTGCTTTTCATGTCCCCAAAGGAGATGACATCCAGGTGTTTGCTCCAGTCTGGTAGGCCTAGGTGAGATTGCTTCCCCATTTGTTTCTTTACTACAAGTGGGTGAAAAATGGTCAGTCCGGATCATAGAATCATGGAATAGTTTAGGTTGGAAGGGACTTTAAAGATCATCTAGTTCCAGCTCCCCAAGGGGGGATCTTCCCTCCCTTCTTCCTTGCCAGCATATTTAGTTAATGAGCCAAGGCAGAGCAATAATTTAGTGCTGTGACCTATTGTAACAGGCAAGCGAAGAGGGGAAGAGAGGAGAGGTGTGGGGTGACCCACCCCAACAGATGGGGTGACCACGTCTCAACAGATGGGTGTATCTTCCATTCATACCGTCTTCATGAGCTACGCTGCTGGGTCTGCAGACAGAGCTTAGTACATAGAGGGTATAACTAAAGGCTGTTATAACAGCCGGTAATCTGCATGGATTTTGTTAATTTTTTTTTTGCTTTAAAGAAAAGCTAAAAAAGGGGAAACTCTTTTTAATGAGCAACTTCTTAAGTATATAATATGAAGTGCGAATTGCTATGAGTCATTCAGTAACTATAGTTTGAATTAGCTGAACAAGTTACCTTGGTCAAAATAAGTATTCACATATGGGGATTTCTCAAACCATGGAACTGAACAGGTGAGACTGAAAATCATAGGTTGTTTAAATAGGAACGATGACTGTGTGATTGTGCCATATGGCACTTGGGGAGAGACGTATCTTGTACTTTTTTTTTTTTTTTGCAACATTTTTGACTACCTTAGATCTGTTCAGCTCCTTCCACTTGTTCCAAATGCCAAGAAATAGGTTACGTAAACTCTGTCCTTCGGTATTAATGAGGAAAAGGATGCTTTCTCTTTGTAACAATCTTTACAAAAGTGTTCCTCTGCAGCACTTGCACACCTGTGAGTGTATTTAGGAATTTTTACCCCTCAGTCTCTTTTGATCCTCAGTAGCAGCCCTTCCAAATACATAGCATGGAAAATAAAAACTCCGACATTCAAGTAATCTCAAGTGAGGGAGAGCAATGTGTCGGGTTAAATTTTTTGAAGCAAGCGTAGCTTGGAAGAAGTTCTCCCCATTTCTTTGGTGGAAGATATTCAAAGGTCTTACTTTCAGAATCCTAGGTAGGAATGGTTTTAGGAAAAAAATCCTCAGATCTTACATGTACCATTTGGTTTGTGCTTCATCATGAGCTCATGTGGGAGAGTTGTTAGAAGCTGCACTGGTGTACCCATCACTCTTCCGAGGCATATTATGGACTTGTGATTGTCTGGAGAAAATACTGTCTTCAACTGTTCGCTGTAACCCTTTGATAAAGATAAAACTCCTTCCAGCTGTACTTCCTTCAGGCCATACTGTTGTGTCTACCTAAATCCAGCAAGACCAGATACTTGGCAGTAAAAGGTGAGAAGAGAAAATACTGGTATTTGTGAGAAGTTACACAGATTAGTCCTGGAACATGAAATTCCAGGGATGAGAAGTTGAAAGCATCTTGAGGGTCACTTGTTTCATACATTGACAACAAAGGCTGGGAGTAGTGGTGGTATCTTCATTATGGAGAAATACCTGTATTAATTTACTAGAAAAGCAACTGCCTTACTGGCTGTAGTTTTCACTCCTATGGAGTGAAGAAAAGTGCATTAAAAACTGTATTAAGACTGCAGCTTGAATCACAATTTTTATTTTATTCCTACAGGATAGAAGGACTTGAATTCCTAGATGAAAAGGAACTGTTTGAACAACTAATGCAGCACTACTGCATCTGCTGGGCTTCAAAGGACAACAGCAATCTGGGTAATGTTCTCCAGCACATTAAGAGGTGACCCATCACACTGAAATCTTATGTCGAGAGACTGGGAGTGTCTACACCAGGTGTACAATAGAATTATCCTTTCGCAGGAGTGGGGTCTGCTTCTCTGTCATCGTTGGGGCTGTGAACACCTCCCTGGTGGTGTCTCGTGACTGTTTCTCCACAGCCTTTTGAGGGTTTCCATAGGCATCTGAATTGCCCAACAGAAAGCCTGGCCAGTACAGGGGAGTTAGAATTTTTGCATCGAAAGATGCCGTATGGATTACTTTAAATAACTGCGTGCTTTACACTATCATTGCTAATTGAAAGGTTTACAAATCCTATGCATGTAAAGTGCCATATGGGCACACAGTATATGAAATCACGGTGTCCTGACAACACAAACATAAAAATAAATTTGTATTACTTAGCACAGTCTTCTTGTGCACTGTCCCCATTTACATCCATCTGAGACGTAAGTTTTGCATGCTGCTTTCTCCTGGGGATGAAAAAAATTCCCTCTGAAGTTAACTTTTAAATGTTCCTTTTGTTTTTAGAATTCTGTCTCTCCTAGACTGGAATTTCTATGAAACGGAGAGACTTGATTTATGTTTTGTGTAGCATTATGTATGTTGCTGCTGCTTAAGAAATAATAGAATCAAAGGAATTGTGGTTTAGGTGAAGGATGGATGTCTACAGCCAGTATTTGTCCAAATTAGACAACTGTGTTGCAGACACAGTTTATCTCTTTTTCTGTATGCAATTTCAGGGACTTTAGTCTTTCTGGAAAATTTCTCTGGCTCCTAGTTCATCTTTTTCCTGCCCTTCCTTTGCTCCTGACAAAGCAGTATTCAACAACAAATTTTATTTCCTGTGCCTTAGTAGATGTGAATCTGAAGTTGTGCATATATTTCAGCCAGACTGAGCAGCAAAGCGTCTGAAACAGCTGGTAGAGCTGGTTCTTCAATACACTGTTGCTGCTGCTGTAACAGAGATGTAAAACTTGGGGGGTCTGCTGGCCCCAATCCTGCAGCTTCAACAGTTTTGAGCTGCAGAAACACACATTTTCCATTTGGTTTCTTATGGTTAAAAAGTGATGAGTGTAATACAGAACTTATTTCTAGAGGAGCTAAGGCCAAAAAGTTCACCCGTTCATAGTAGCCAGTATTGCTGGGATCTCCACCATTATTCTTTGCTGTGATTAGAGGAGTATTTAGGACAATTTTGGGCACTGAGTTGTGCAGCATATCTTTGAAGTCAAAAAAGAAAAATCCCAAAGGAGATAATCAAAGGCATAGTGCATGGATACGTGTTAATATAAAGCAGGTTTCCTTTATCTGGAGTGAATTTGCTGCCCTCCTTAATGATACTTTTCCCAGCTTTCTCTTTTTCATTTCATGGGCAGACGCTTAGTTCAGCAGCAGCCTCTGTGTTGTTCCTTCTGTGATGAATAACTTCAGTACTCCTTCAGATTGGCTTATTCAAGTTAATTGCAGCATCACAATCAAAAAAGGGTTCAAGTAGAGATCAACCTGTTTCCTAATTTCCTTTCCTGCCACTAAATCCTTTACATTGATTTTATTATTTATTTTTTTTTTAAAACTTTATTCTCAGAGCATCCTTCTTCCTGAGTCTAACTGTCCTAATAGGAGTGAAGTACAGGTAGTATAAGTGTTTCTTTCTCACCCCAACCCCCTTTCTTTTCAAACAGGTCTCGCAAACATCACATTCTGATGTATTTCCTGGAGGGAAGCCGTGGGCTCAGAAGCCCCAGCGACGACCTTCTGCTTGGGACGAGATCACAGAAATGATGGGACTTTGCATGTGCCAACTTCAGTCTGTGCATCTGTGTCAGCGGCGCCGGTACAGAAAGCGCCGGGTGCTACTGATGTCGACTGTCCTTGTCGGGTTTTCGTAGTTTTAATGAATTTTTTGTGCCCACCGTGAGCAATTGTCATGAGGCAAGACTCGCCTCCCGTTCCCAGATATATGATGATGGACTTTCCTAGGATGTCAGTAATTCCTGTTTAAAAGCTTGCCTTCCTTAGTTTAAAACGGAAAGTAAAGTGTTCCTGGAGTATACGATTTTCCTCTTCTGTCTTTTTGTGAATGTGTATAATGTATTTGTGAGGGGAAGCTGGAAAATCAATGAGGTGAGCGGCATTATTGGGTATCTCTGCACTGCGCACGACTGATCGTGAAGGTTAAATTTGTTAATTTTCGTTCTGTTCAGGTTAAATTTTCTGAAGTTGTCACCATGTTAGCTTTTTCCTGGCTTTTACTATTGCTACGAGGCTGTCACTACACCAGGTATGTTATTGTAGGGGAAGGGCGAAGGAAGAAGGGGGGGATGTGATAGTCGTTCAGTGGTGTACAAGAAACTGGATGTTGTTAAAGCAGACTTTATTTAACTGGGAAGGGCTTAGCCTTGGCAGTTCAGCACTGGGATGGTAGAGGTAAGAAAGAAATTAATCTTAATTTGCACTGCTTCTGGTAGTATCTTTACACCAGTTTCTCATTCTTCTTTCTTTCCCCTTAAAAGAAACAAACAAAATCCCAACAGCAACTAAAGACCTTGCCATGTTGTTCGAAAAATGAATCTTGCGACCTTCCTATGAGAAAAATAATAAATGTTTAGTATTTATAATTTGACTGGTGTCTTACTCATTAGAAATGGCCTATTTATATCTGATTTAGTGACTGCATTTTTCCTCTCTCACCAAATGCCTCACCAAGAGTATTTTTTAAAGCAGTAGAAATAATAAGCAACCATTTTTGTACTGCATGTGACTTTCTGTACTGTAAGTACAGCTTGCTTCGGAAACAGCTGACATGGGCTTGGACTGGAGATGTAAGGAAAGAGATTTTTTTGAGATACCAGAAAAAGTAATGAGTTCTTGCAAGTGACAGTCATAATTTCAGAAGAACAGGAGTAGTAAAAAGAAGTGGCCTTCCCTTCACTGCCCTCCCCTCTCTGTCACCAGTTTTAGTCACCGATAGCTACAGGCCACCTCCTGTTACGTGTCTGTCAAGCTGATTTCTTAAATGTCAAGGCACAGAAATACAACATTTGATCAATGCTGTGCTTGGGCTTTGCAAAGTGGTGGCATAAACTCTCTGCCCCCAAAGGGAAGGGATGGACTGTGCAGTTATGAAAGGCGCTTATAACCTTTGGTTCCTAGATAACAATATCCATGGTATGCTTGTGTCTGCACGTTTCAGATGTTTTTCCCAAGTCTCAATCCTGATAAGTTTATTATGTGGATGCTGCCATTTTAAAACTGTCTTGGACTTCATCAGTACTGCGTCTTGGATCATGCTGTGGGCCATTAAGTTGCTTTTCTTGCATTTAATGAGCTTATAGCATATGAGGGCCTCCCACCTACAGATGCTCTGACTCACAGGAGAGCTTTGCTCCTGTGGGGTGTGTGCTCTCTTGCAAACTCATTTGCTAGATCAAACGTGATGTTATGAAAGTATAACTAGAGATTGGGCACTTCATTGGGTGGCTTCCATTTTGAAGAAACAGTGAGGTGCTCCTGAGATAGACAACAGTAAAGGTTTCACTTCTTCCACCTTCAGGGTGGACTGTAGCACTGGGGGAACGTGGTTGAGCTAGGAGCTGTTGTTCTACCAGCTGGTGCTGTATTTGAGATTCCTTTTGCTTCAAGGGGACTGAGATAATGGAATTTGATGCTTTTATTTAATTGGTGGAATTGGTGTTTGGGAGCAGGCTTTATACCTGCTCTGTCCTCACAGCGTGCATTAACCCTGTTGTAGAGGCATTTCTGTCATCTGGAAACGAGCCAGGTTAATCCTGCATCCCTAAGGATGGCTGGCAGGGATCCTGTTGGAACCAAGCGTGGTGGTGGCTGCTGTGACATTGCTCTCCAGCCGCTGGGAGTCGGATCTTGCCTCCCTTCCAGCCCCACCGCACACCTAACTCTCCTTGAATCTTCCCCCTGATGATGTCTCAAAACTCTCATTCTAGCCTATCCAAAAGCTAGTTCCTACTTTCTTGTGTACATCTTGTATGGATGCAGTTTTCCTCCCTGTGGTTTATGGAGTCGGTATTTATTAATGGATGACTAACCTCTCGGTACGGCAGACTCCTTGGTACGGCTTTGACGAGCTATCTGATTCTGCCTGCAGTGCCCTTTGATGTCCTGCTCCTTGATCTCTGTCCACAAACAGCTCTGATCTGACTTGCTGGCAAGAGCATTACCTGTGCTGGGTGCTGCACGAGCACCCGGGGAGAGACGGTCTGTCCTGAAAAACCTCTTGGTTTGAATTAATGTGCAAGAAGCACCTGAAATAGCTGAGACAAAGGTGCTTAAATACGAAGACGGGGGAAACGAGACAATGTGTAGTGTCACAAGTAGGCTCATAGCTAAGTTTGACAGGTTACCTGACAGTTAATATTTCTGTTAGTAAGAATCAGGGATTTAAAAAAAAAAACAAACCACAACACAAACCCACAACAAACCAGCAGCAAACTGAAATCCCTGTAACACCGCACTGCAGGAGTCTTCTTGTGCTGTGACTAATGCTGGCTCTGTGGCAACAGGACTATCCTGCTGATTGCCATTGAATAGAATGAATGAATACGTAGTAATATAAAAGCCCCATCTCCGCTCTCAGTTTAATTTTGGCAAGGTGCCCTTTAGGTGTGTGTTCCTTGAGCCTCTTGCAACGCATCTTTATGGGTGGGAGCCCAGCTGAGGTCTTACCTGCGCTGGAAAAAGCAAATCTGTTCCCTGTGAGCTGGTGGACATCTAAGATGCGACCACTGACGAGTTGTGTTTTTAATATAAACGGGCTTTAAATGGAGCTTCACTACAGGAGCCGGTCCTGTGCTCAGGCAGGCAGTCTTTGTCATCCTCTTTGTCATAGTTTAATCCTTTCTGTGTTTGGAAATGTCTCTGCTGGCGTGAGGCGGGTATCGGTGGAATTTCTGCCCATCAGTTTCTATTTCAGGCTCTTGTGTAATTCGTTCATCTGAGGGAAGCTCTGAAGAACGTGCCACAGGAGCAGAGCTGGTGCCGTGGGATGAGAGGCGCGATGGTGGCCCTGCCCCATCCTCCTCTAGATGAGCCTGGCTTTCTGTCTTGCAGCGGTGCAGCATCCAGCGAGGAGAAGGGAAATCATTCCTGCAAGAACTCTTCCAGAGCCTGGCTTGCCAGCGGTGGTGGAGAAAGTAGGTCACCTTGTGCTTCAGGGTTACAACAGGATCAAAGGAATTGGTGATACCTCGGGAGCTGGCGGGGGGAGGCAGGGTGTGGGCAGCCTAGCTCATGCCTACGCTAACGAAAATAAATCCTTCACCTCTCTTCAGGGAATATTTGGGTTCGGAGAGTGCCTGGTGCTGCTAAAACAGTGCTACTTGGCTGGAAAGCCACTAGCTGGAAAAGGCTGAGAAGTGTTTTCCAACCAGGAGAGGTGGCCTTTGCCTTCTGCTGCTGTTCGCTGTGCTGTGTGTGGTTCTGCTCGTCAGCAGTGGCTCCCTTGGGCTGCAGCGGTGGATCTCTGCCTTCTGCTGCCAGCCCAGCCTTCTCCCAGGGTTATTGATACTGACAGCACAACAAAATTCATCCCCGAAAATGGTTTGTTTAAAGGAGGGGGAAAAAAATTAAAAATAATCATTTAAGCTTGAGTAAACTGCAAGGCATAAGTCAGCTGGGTTGCCTCAACCACCCAACTGTGGTGGAGGAGCTCAGTTTTGTTCCTTCTGCAACCTCCTGCCCTGCTGGCAGCTCCCTTAGTGCCTGAAGGGTTTTGCCTGTCCCTGCCTGCAGGAGCTGGTGGCTTCCTTGGAGTCACTGCTTGGTGCTGGCTGAAGAGGCTGAGCCACCCCTGCCTCTAGATAAGGGCACTCCACTGTCATCTTTGCCTCTGGAATGTCTCCTATCAGCCCTGGGTTTAGCTCTGGCCTCCATGTCATAGCCACACCCTTCTCATTCCGTTGAAGATCACTTAAAAGTACTTGAACTGGTTCCCTCTTTCCTGCTGAATGTCTTTTCTGTGTTTGTAAATGTAGGACCAGCAGGAGGTTTGCTGTCATCAATAGGATAAGTTCTCCCACAGCGAGGAGCCTGTCATGATGTTCCTCGCGATGTTGCTGATGGGTTGTGGAGCACCTGAAAAGCTGCATCTTCCCCCACCTCTTCTCCTGCTCTCTTTTGGCTGCAGGGTGGGTAGTCGGGCTGTCCCTCCTGTGTGCTGGGCATTTGGAGAGCGTGGGTGACATGGGACCTCCAGTGAGGAGGACAGCCAGGCTGGCTGTCACCCTACATGGGGCTTTGAAAGGAGACTGACCTGGGAGCTCTGGGCTGTGGGAGGGGATGAAGGTCCCGCTGAAGGAGCTCTAGGAGGGAAGGTGGTAGCAGGAAGGGGCTGCCAGAGGAATTGTGTCTGCTCAAAGTTGCTGTTCTTGAAGCAAGATGCTGTTAATCCTCTTTGCTTCTCCTTGCGTCTGTGGTTTTGAAGCGTTTGCCAAAGGAGGATGCTGGCTCCAGTTGCCATGGCGAACTGCGGGAGTCGGAGCACGTGGTCCTCGTCTGCCTTTGAGATGCCTGTCACAAATTGATCCCGACAGGTACAAGAAAATCCTTATATCTGCTCCATGCTGAGTCCTGGATGTTGATCCTCCCTCTGTCCGTTCTTCAGCCTCAGTTCAGATGATTACCCTTTACTGTGCCTGTGTTCCAGCCACGTTACTCATGCCTGAGCTTTGCCTGCTCGCTCTTAAAAGATGGATAAAAGAAGTCCCCTTCTAGAAAATTAGATTATTTACTTCCTTACAGGGATTATCCAGCTCTGGGGACTGAATGAAAAGCAGTTAGCTTAGTGCATAGCATTTCAAGCCTCTCTGCAGTGTTACCAGTTCCTCATTTCATGCTTACAAGATTTATCAGGTCCCTGTGCTGCTGGGGCACAGGAAAAGGCGGTTATTGGGGACAGAAATGCTCTATTGTAGTCGGCTTTATAGGATTGTTGTGGGGAGCCCAGTGTTAGGTGATTGCAGGGAAGATGTGCCTCTGTGTCCGTTGCATGGGACCAGGAGCGCCCGTCCCTTCTTTGGGAGCTTGGTGGATTTTCATATTAAATACCAGAATTAAGGTCTTAGTGTGTCTTCATCCTACTGGTTATTTTCCCTTCTCAAAAACCAGGCTACTCTCTGTGTGTGCAGAACTGACCCAAATCTGTCCCTGTTTTCCAACAGGCAACAGTAAGTCTGTATGAAGAACCCTTGGAAATTTCCATCTGCGCTCAAGCGTTACGGTAGCAATTTGAGGTAAAACTATTATGCAATATAGGATCTATAAATGGGCAGAGGTCAGCTAACCTGTGGTACTGCTACGAGCTGCAAATAATGCTGCAAGTTCTCATTCAGTAACAGTTGTGTAATCATTAAGACTATCAGCCTCCAAGATAAATACTGTAAAGATAAGGCAGTGTCAAATGAGTTTGCCTTTGCCTTCATTGCTTTTTTAAAAGAGCTGGGGTCTTTCCCTGCAGCAGCACTGTTGTGCAGCACCAAAATACTTGATTATAACTTTTTTTTGGTAGACATCCAGTTGGAAGTCTGTCCCACAAAATGTACGGGCACTGATTCAACAGAGATTCAATCCACACGTGCTCAAGTCC